CACCTTTGTATATGTGTAATTTTTTTCCTCCTCTTAAAAAGATTAATTGCTAAACTTCTAAAAAGCACGCGAAATTTTTCAAAAGTCCCCTAAATATTCTTTATACGAAGCCAAGCGTTATGCGTGTTCAAATGTCTGTAATATCAATGCGTAAGTTTGTACTTCAACGCTCCCGAACAAGTTTCACAAAAATATTACCTAAAAAAGGGTGCGAAAACTCCGAAGGTAAGTTCCCTGTGTATTATTTTTGCTGTTTAATATCTTTGCTATCGATTTATTAATTTGTATATTATATTATTATGTTAATATCTTAATATATATTACTATATCCAGTTATATATTACGATAGTAATATCTGTGTATTCTTAAAAATTTTTATGGACAGTAATGCTTCCATTGTGAACAGAGTAAACAAATTAAATATGATTCGTTGATTTCATTCCTCGCAGAAGATGCTCACGAAGAAGCCTCCAAGGAAAGTTTCAACCCGGGGTTGAACAGACAAGGCATTCAAAATGCATGTGAGATTCGGCCTTATGAGGGAACCTCGAAAGTGGCAAGATGTTGGCATAGCTGCAGCACGAGACAGCTAGGCCTCATCGAGCCTCTTTTTGGGTTTTCGACAGCATCCGCGGGCCGAAATCATAGATTAAATGGATCAGAATATATTTCTTTCTCACCAGCTGTGATAGAAGGTCTACACATAACAATGGATGGATGCAAGAAAAGTACGTAACACATTCTCTCAAGTATAAGTGACAGTTTACATGTTATGTAACAAACATTACATCATTGTATCACTTTGATCATGTATAAATGAAATACATCGCGAAATATTTCGAAGAAATTTTACTTTAGTATTAGAACCTTGAGTGTGAACTAATATTTATGATTTCTGTAGGCCTAACTTGCCAGTAATCGAGCTTTTTTATATTCGATGGAGATTCTTCGTCACAAAGAATATGACCAGTTCGTTTACAACCGTGCGTCTTCCGCTAACTGCGCTAACAAATTTAGTTTTCTCTAGATTTTTCTTAAAATATAGCTTTCTTTTCTTTTTCTTTAAGTCATTTTCTTACTTCCTTGTACGAAGTAAAAAGGAAGTATTGTAATCGCGAAACGTTTCAGGCAGAATATTTCAACGAAAATATCCATTTTGACCCCTTTCGAATTCAATTTAACGATGTTTTTGCGTGATATCTGTACGTAAGGACAGAATAAAACACTCTTTTCCTCCACAAAACTTATAAAACTGCTTTAAAATTAATTCTGAAGAGAATTTTTCGTGGCGTCTGTACGAACGTATGTACGTACGTATCTCGCATAACTCAAAAACGAGTAGCCTCAGAACATTGAAATTTTATATAGGACTAATATAACTGTAGATGTGCACCTCGTATTTTGGTTGCAAATCGCCCGCGCCTAATTATAAAATATATTATATATATATCCCTCTGGAGTTACCCGGCTCAGTGATCTCTTCTTTACTTTATATTTGTAATTTCACCTTTTTTTCTTTAAAAATGATTGAATTATGTTGTTCTTATCTTCCAGTTAAGTTTTTATACTTTAGTAATCTGTATGCAATACTTTTAGAATTATCAACAATTTTAAAGTTGTTTAAGTGCCGCTAATCCTATGATTTTTTTTAATGGCGGCCATTGCTTGTTTACATTTGAAACAGCAGTAGTGGATTTGTTGGCCATCTAGAGAACGTAGCTTCGCAACAACAAAGATAACGCTTTCATTATTTATTGCGAATCAAATCATCTTAATCCTTTCTGGAATTTTTTCAAAGAAATAATGTTTAAGATTTACTTCGTATTTTTAATACACCAGATATTTGAGCTTTTTGTATTTTTTGCCTTGTCGCTAAGTGAGACTGAATTATTGAATGAGAAATACTAAAATCGTCTGTGAAAACTGTTTCTTTTTTGTTTTGTTTGCTTAATTGCTTTTATACATCGTTCTAAATTTATTATAGTATTTGAATAAAACATGTGGCAACGCTTAGATAATTCTTCAAATGATATAAATTTTGTGCATTCTGAGTTATAATACAAACGAAATATAATACTGTTAAGTGAACGTAGCGCCAGAGTGTCGCTGTGGTAAACAAATAAAGTTAATTTTAAAGAATGCATTTATTCTATTGTGGTTCATGCGAAGTAGGTTTAATTCAATCCAATAAGTTTAAACGAAATGCAAGAAAAAATGCGTATAATTCAATATTCCGTGCAAGGAAATCATGTGGTGTACACATCAGATTTTTTCATTTTTTGTCATAACTGTGTGTATCTGGGATTTGCCAAAAATTATTCACAATGTTTTTCCATATTGATAAAGAATCGACAATATGATTGATTCCTATAACATACATCGCAAACAGAAACAAACTGACATTCAGTGTTCATAAGAAGAAAATAAAGCAAGCGAATTATTCAGTTACTGTACGATTCATGTTCTTTTGGTACTCAACATAGTTGAGTAAATGTCGCAATTATTTATATTATTCCCTTATTATTCGCAATTATTTTATTATTTTTATTATTATTCGTAATCATTTAATTATTATTATTCGCAATTATTTTATTAATGTTTTAAGGTATTTCTCCCACTTTCCTAGCGTGCCTTAGTGGTGTAACGGTAGCACGCTGGGCCGGTACTCCAGAGGTCCGTGGTTCGATTCCCGGCGAAGGCGGTTGCTAATTTTTCATCTTTTCTGCTTCCAATTAACCTAATGACTCTACAAGTGGCGCCCGAACTAAAAGGGTTGTGGATGATGATTCTCCGCACCCAGGATTTGGCGACTAGGTCCCCTAAAACCCTAGTCGTCCTTTAAAAAGGGGAGTATATAAGGTATTTCTCCCACTTCCCTAGCGTGCCTTCATGGTGTAACGGTAGCACGCTGTGTCGATTTTCCAGAGGTCCGTGGTTCGATTCCCGGCGAAGGCAGTTGCTAATTTTTCATCTCTCCAGCTTTCAAAAAATCCTAATGACTCTACAATGTCGCAATTATTTTATTATTATTCCTACATTATTTGTGTTGCAATAGTAACACAAATAATGAGTGAGTTATTACCGACAATACTTGGAAATGGCAGATGTAAGTCAACACATAATTGTTTCAAATTATGTCGTTTAGACATCTGCTTTAATACAAGTAGCTTGACTGAACACAAAAGTAAAAATATACAGTCGCAAGACCAAGATTTTTATTAGATAAAATGTTTTTTATCATTCTCAGCAAGTAGACTTCGAAAAGGGACAATCAAATTAAAAAGGAAAAGGTCAATTACTTCCGGCTTATCTTTAAAAGACTGAAATATGATCATCGACTTTAAATTATCTCTCGCATTTGGCAACTTTTTGTTTGACTCAATGTTTCATTCTGAATTCTGCGGTGCTAAAAATTGCAAAATATATAACGCCAAAGCATTGGAAGCTCTTTTAACACAAAAAGATAAATTATCAAAATAATTTTCTTACATATCAGTGAAAAACATAAAATTCGTAAACTTTAAGCGGCTATCAAATGCCAAACGTACTCGCATCATACCCATATAAAAGAGATAGTAGATAACCATACCAAACACATATCTCTAGATTACAAATTCATAATAAAGGATTGTAAAAAATATGTACTTGAAAGGAATTATTTGTTGATCTGTGTTGAAGAGGAAGAAAAGGAAAATAAAAAAAAAGATATAAATTTTATTGCACTTAAAAATTTCGTATTAGAGGTAAAAACATGTTCAGCTAATTTTAGGAAAGACAGGCTGTTTCAACGTAAAAAATAAGTAAGAAGAATTAAGTAATCTGTTGAAGCATTTTAACTGCAGAGCTTCATTCAGTACAAGAAACTCCTGAAATACTCGTTGCTTCTCAAGGGAAGACATTTACGACAATTACGACATGTTCTCAATCAGTTTCAGCAATTCTGTTTTTTTTTTTTTATTTGCATCAGCTATTTGTTAAGATGTATTTTTAACCCATCATATTTCATGTACAATATTTTATATCATTTTAGATGTTACATATGCCACGCTTGAATTTATTTCGACAAAAAAATCTTCATATTTAGAGAAGCATTATTATTTTTTCGAAAATTTAATGGATAAAAATAATGCTTAATAGTTATGGTTATGACCATTATTACAAATTTAATGTGAACTGAAATTAAAAAATTATGTTGATGAATTTGATTTTACATATCCTTGTGAAATTAAATATTAAGATTGAAATTATTTTTTCACATTTAAAATCGCATTTTCAAGTTTAGTTTTAATCTGATACTTTTATTTGTTTAGTTAGATGTCTAATGAAACTTCTACTTGTTTGAGAAGAATTATACGCATATAAAAAGGAATGCACATACAGAACAGAAAGAAAAAAAAAAAAAAAAATTTAATCTGAAATGCTTCAGATTTTAAATTACGTCCACATGGGCGTTTTTTTTAACGTTTTGTGTGTTACCTTTATTTATTAAATATCATGTTCTTTGCATTTAAACCATAAAATTTAGTTCAATAGCAATGTCGCAAAATAATTTTAAAATGAGCCTATCTTTAGAATTTCCGATACGCGGTTCGATGCGCTGGAGATAAAATGGTCCCTCCCCCGTAGTGTTGCCATGGCTCGCTTTAAATCGTTGAGTTTGTTACTCAAAATTCGTTAAGTTTAAAAAATGAATCGATCATAAAACAATCCAAATTTCAATTTGGATTTCATATGTCCATATTCGCAGTAGGTACTTCTTCAAAATTGGATGGCTCTAGATACCGTTTTTTATCACGATGCGAGAATATACACATTTATCAGATTTTTTCATTTTTTATTTTCCATATAAGCAGGACACTAACATTTTGTGGCAACAGTGTGAAAAGTGAACCGACATTTGTAGGAGTCCGACGCAAAATGCCAAAACGAAAGTAATAGTCCTTCAGAGGACTCAAATCCCTTTAGACTAAAAAGAAACTTAATGTTAAAATAATAAAGCATTTCATTTTATGAAACATTTATTTGATTAAAATAAATACAATGAATAATGAACATGATATCGAGAAGACAATGATTGATTGAAAATTTTACAGCATGTGGTATACCATTTAAAGAAAGCATAACAATTTACATGGGAACTATATCACAGTTCTGATCGCTTGTCTTGGTTCAAACTACATATCATTCTCTAATATGAAAGTTGAACATTTGACAACTCATCTCTTATGCTTTAATACTTTTAATGCATTGGCGATAGAGTAATCACCAATATTGGATCACCAGTTGGTGATACAGTTTACTACTTTTAATGCATTGGTGATAGTGGTAGCCTGGATTTAGATATTTAACAGTAAGACAAATGTTACTTCAAAAAGTCTTAAAATTCGAAGTCTTTAAAGGTAATTGCATTAAAAGTAAATAAATTCGTGAGAGCCAAAATTAAATTCAGCAATTTAATTAAAAATGAAGCAAAGTTCTTTTTGATGCGTATTCAAAATTTCTTCCCAATTTAGAAAAGTATAAAGAGTGTTTAAACGAGTCTTTAAAATATTAGTGAAATATCAGCGTTATTTCGAAAGCCTGTCAGCAATTAAATTTATGATAGAATTAAAAACGCTGATTATTAATGGCTTAGAGAAAAGGGGAAGTTTTAGTTTATGATTTTATTTATAGCGGTCTTTTAGAGAGAGAAGAAAAAAAAGTATTTTTCTTTGAAAAATGAAGCTTTTGCTGTTAGAAAATGTTTTGGTACTTCCAGGAGCAGTTGCATTTTCCCGCAATAGAACACTTCAGTCAAATATGTTAATTATATGATAAATCTTCATAACATCTTTCATACAGTTGTTCTCAAAAGGAACAAAGGATTTAATCACGAAATAAAAATGTTTAGTGAGAAATATTTGCAATGAGATCTTCACTTTTTTCTTCATCTTCTTTACCATACTTCTCGACGATGTCGCGAGCATTTAAAGCACCCTTGTCATCATAGAAATCGATGAAAGCAGTTTCACGGGAATAAGCATAAGCTTTTTCATAACCATAACCACGATCTCTATGCTCTTTGTCTTTGTTGTCGAAGGTTACTCCGAAACTGCCGTCGCTGTTGTAACCGCCTTTGCTATCCAGTAACGATGATGAACTGTAATCTTTATTGCTGAGGACTTCCTGGTGGTGCTTGTAGTTTTCATCGGCTTGCTCTTGAATTAGAGCTGATCTTTCATCATTTTTTGTCGGCAGTCCTCTAACCACAGCCAAAACACAAACAAAAAGGAGGACTACAGCTCTCATCTAATAAAAAAAAATGTGTTGCTTAGATATTTAATAAACAAAGAATTTATATTACGTGATGCAATCTTATGTAAAACCTTTCGGTACCTTAAAATGAACATCAGTTTATTTACTTCTAAATCATACTCAGGGAATTTTGGATTTTCATATTATAACAACAAAGCTTATATTGAAGAAGTTCTCATTTTTATGCCTAGATACGGTCTGGTGGTGGTGGTGTATTTAATTATGGCAAAGCACACTAGGGCTATCTGCCTAAATATCTGCCTAAAGGGGAGGGATGCCTGCGTGAAGACTTCTAGGAACTGCTCGTATACGTTACACATGGGGAAACCACGAAAAAACTCCTGCAGCCAGCCCGTTCGCGGATTCGAACCTCGACGACTACCAGTTTCAGCGACTTACCGCTCGGCCACTTGTGGCCGAGTATTGTCTGAAAATTAATTTCATGAAAAGTCATTTTAAAAGTATTTTTTAAAATTTTAAAAAATTCCAAAATTGCTTAAACGTTTAATTTTAGCTTCTTCTTTTTAGGCTAATTATTGATTGGTTTTAGTCATTATTTTATTTGTAAAAGAATCGGATTCACGATTCAATGCAGCGATCCTCGTCTCCCGTTAGCAGCTTAACAACTCAAATTTTTGGAACTAAGGGATTTTATTAAAGGCGATACGCATTCATATTCTCTTCATAGTTTGTTCAAGAAACTGTTTCATCTAATTAAAAATAATTATAAAATAATTAATTATACTACTTTCTCTATCGTCTGCTGTATAATATTGGATTAAAGCTCAAAAACCGAAGCTCTGCGTAATTAGAAAAATTCATTCATTTTACCAATTTATTTCAAATAAAAAAATTTTCAGGAATTAAAGCTAATTAGAAGTTATGCCCTTAGAAAATCCACTTGGAGTTATAGTATTTAGAAAATCTTAACTCATTTTTTTCTCCGAAGATACTGCAATTATACAGTTATTGTAAAACAAACTGCACAATTCTCACTAAGATTATTATTATCAATGTTTACAGAAATAAGATTACTATTATGAATGTTTACAGAAATAATAAATGATAAAATAGCAGCTGAATTATTATGTCATATGATCAGTCGTTCTCAATATTTTTATTTATCTCATAGGTATACTGTTTAAAAAGTTTTATATGATAAAAAAGTACTAATAAAAACGCTGTTACAATAATTTTTTCTTTAAAAAAGATTTTATGCATAATAACGTCTAATGTGATGAAACTAGTATATGAAATATATATGTTGCCGTGAAAGACCGAAATTAGTGATTGTCGACTTTCACCGGAGAATGTCAACATTCACTAAATACGTCGGTGAAAATCGAATATTGCATTAAATTCTTGTACATCGGACCCTCCCGGTGCCTTCGCAATCAGGATATGCCGAGTATATGTCAAAAGAGAGGAGTTAATATGTCCTTGCTCCATTGCAAAGGAAGGTTCACAAATAAATGCAGTTGTAAAAAGCAGGGCCTCTTGTGTCATAATATTAGTTTTGCAAGAAATAGATTTAAGCATAATTTAGTAAGTTTTAACTCTATATTTTTTTCTTCATTTTGAATGTACTGTGTGTGTTTAATTTCTATATCTTAGTCTTTAAGTTAAGTGCGTTTTTTTCGCAACTGAAGACGGAGACTAAAATATATGCTTAGGTTCACATTCACCATTAGTGCATGATGGATGCCGACATTTACCGGTGTAAGTCGAACTAAGAGTATTGGAAAATAGTTCGACTACAAGCGACTATGGTGATGTTGACATTCACCGGTGAAGCCGACATTCTCCAGATTTCGGTGTTTCACCGTAACATATATAATGTTCGGAATTTTTCCTTTTCAAAGTATATATTTTTAAACAAAATTAAAAATAATGATTAACAAATAACAGCAAATATTAAAAAATTGATTAGATATTCGATATTTACAGTATAATATAATACATATAATTAAAGAAATTTTTTTCTTCTACTTAGCTCAGACTTCAGTATTTGAAAAGCTTTGCGTTATATGTATGATTTCCAAAAATAATTATTGAAGAAATCAAAGTCAGTAACTGAAAATTAGAAGTTCTGCGCTTTACAAATCATGCTAAACAATAACTACTAAAACTGTTTCCAAGAATTAAATGAAATCCACGTAAGTAAATTAAAATCTTCGTTTAGAAAACTAAGAAACAGAACTGAATTTCGCATTCTAAAATTCTACTGGCTTCCTAAATTTTATTGTTTGAAATATTCAACATTCCATCTTTAAAAGCGAGTAACAAATAATTAGAATTATTATCATCACTCAAATAATTAGCAATTTAGAGATCATTCAAAATTTTCAGATTAAGATTCATTAAAATTGTCTACCGAGCTTAGTATAAATTATCACATAATTAAAAATGGATTTTTTTATTTATTTAAGAAAGAAAATTAAATGCAAAACTAACATTGCACGTCAATTTTCCGCAGAACTCTTATTCGGCGCAATAAGATACAAGTCAAAATCGATTTATGTAAAATATTGATGATTCTCTTTATTTTTATCGACGCTTTTTTAATTTATTTTTACATACGAATCCGTCTGTTTATTTTAAATTAATTTTCTTCGAAATAAAATTTAACATTTTACTAGGACGGCCCGGTACGTTATTGAATCCATTTTTTAATGTTCCTATAAACAAAATAAGAGCAATATGAATATGGCAACGAAATTTTATGGCTCAGCAGAAATAGTTTCTATTGCTTATTTCTTCAATAGTCTATTCCGAAGAAATCTTTCGGCTATAAAATGCTACAGCGTACATTTAAATGCGATCAGAATGATGACTGGAAAGTTCGAAGTTCCTACTCACCATTTTCGAAGTTCTTGATGTGTATCTTTCCACAGTTCAACATACCCACAACACAGACAGCGGTATATTTATACACAAGTTCTAGGGGCGTGTGTTTACAAACAAGTCAGGGCACATATAGTCCTTCGCGTCTCTTAAGACATTCGGAAACAACATTGCCTTCGATTTTGTCATTGATCAAATAACACCTGAATTTACTTGTCTCAAACTTTACCTTCACCTGGTAGCCTCAAGTAACAAAGCACTGAGAACAGATTTTTCTTTCCAATCTATCTTACTCGTTGAGTTCGCAGACAGTTCAGCTTTTACTATATTTTTCAAGGTCTGTTTAAGGTCGTCTCGGATCGCTTTCGCTCGATTCGATCTGGATACTTCCTCTAAACAGACTGCATCAGGTACGGACTGCCCGTCTTTCCTCTATTCTTAAGGCCATTTCCGTTATCCACTTACAAGATGGTGCACGGAAGAGATGTGTTCATTTCCCGATTTCTTCTCAAGGTTGGTGTAATCGAGAGTATTTTAGAGAATAACAACAATCTATGTAGGTTTTCATTATCACTCAATGAGTCACCGCAACGTTTCTCTTCTTTTTCCTAGACTCGTGACAGGAATCAATTTTGAGATGCCTGTTAATAAAGATTGTAGGAACGAATATTTCATACGAAATGACGTCATCTCCAGCAAATATTTTCATTCTCAGTTTCGCAAAAAAAAAAAACGTAAAGAAATCGAATTCAATTCATTTTCAAACTTCAAAATGCAGCATCAGAAATTACCGGTGAAGTTAATTTTAAACTTAAACGTTTTTTATTAAAATTACAATTATATAAAACCAAAATAAGCGGTAATAAACTGAGAAGGACGGAAATAAGTATGGGAAATGGGTAACTTTTTTAGCTCAAAGGGGCAATTTACCCAGGAGGGCTGTTCATTTCGTTCTGGCATTTTGCGTTAATTCACTATTTAAACAGCGAATCACTTTTTAAATTGTTGCCACCAAATATTAAAGCCCTGTATTATATTTAAAGAAATTAATTAATGAAGAATCTGCATAAATGTATCTATGCTTCTCGCATTACTGTACCCAGAGCATCCAATTTGAATAACGTACGTTCCACCCTAATGGGCATCTGAAGTCCAAATTGGAATTTTTTTTATTTCTATTTTGTAAAGCATTATGAGTTTTTGATCAAGACCTCACGATTTCAGCGGCAAAGCAATACTGTAGCGAAAAAAGAACTATCTCCAGTCCTGACGCGTATCTGAATTCAAATATAGGATCTTTAAATATTTTGTTTGCTATCAAATTGAATTTTATGTTTAAGTGTCATACATGATATTTAATACCTAAAGTTAACACCCCAAAACGTTAAAAAAAAAACGCTCCTTTTGGCATAATCTAAAATCTGAAAATCGAAAATCTTTCAGAAGCTTTACTTATTTTAATATTTTCATTTTAAGTACTGCAAGTTTATCTTAAAATATATATATATATATTATATATATATATTACTTAGAAGTCCAACAAAACAACAAAACAGCCGTTTCTATTTTCAATTTTACAGGACTAGTTTTTCGATGTTTTTACAGAACCATCATCCTCATCCTCATATGAAAAGCGCAATTTTTTTTTTCCCACATTTGCGCTTTTGCAGCTGAGGATGATGGTTCGGTAAAACCATCGAAACTAGTCCTAAGAAAATTTGAAAATATAACGCTGATTTTTGTTGCTTGACTTCTAAATTAATATTTGTTCGGCGTGTTATTGTATCATAATATACATATATCTGGTCAATAAAATAAACTAAGGACTGAATTAATTTCTTAAATGCAAATATTTATTTAGATCCGAGATTTATATAATTATATCTAGTGTATTTTAGTTTATAAAACGCATAATTTTTCAAAATGGATTACAAGGGTAAGTTATTTATTTTAATCCTTCTCCCCATCTTCCCTCCATCTTCTTTTATGAACCATACACTATTTATCTGCTTGTATTTTACTATAGTGTACACTCAAACCTGCTTTTGTGCGGTTTTTTTTTTTTTTTTTTTTTTCTTTTTTTGTGCGGCATACGAAAATTTCAATCAAATTAGAATAAAATTATGCAATTATATTATAAGGTATTTCTC